AGAAAGTTGAGAACTTTTCCATCTCAGGGATAATACAGTGACATTTACGAATGATGCTTGAATTTAAAGATTGAGCATTTTTTTTACAGCTTCGAGAATTTTTACTTTACTTTTTATAATCGTTATGACCGTCGATTCCGGTAGATTGAACTTCTTTGCCAATTCATAAATGTTCATTTTTGTATCGGAGTCTTTAATAATGTTAACTTTACATTCCAAAAGATAAAAGTTTTTCTTTTCTTGTTTGATGCAGAAGAATCAGTTCTACTTCCTTTAGATGTGTGGTGGTGCCCACCATATATATATATGTTACTGTAAAAGCCCGTATACTGGTAAATCCTAGGTTTTACTTGTAAATCTTCGGATTTACCAACATGAGTTGGTAAATGTAAGGATTTTTATAAAGTGAGATAATTTTCCGGACTTTTACCATTAGAATTTGGTACATGCTAGGTTTTACTAAAGACAATTAGTAAATGTTGGTTTTGGAAATAAAACTATGAGCATTTTAATAATCATTTATTGCAACTATTATAAACTTACTAAGTCCTATTTATTAATAACTAGCGAAACAGTTTAAAAATACTTTTTTAACGTAACAAAAATTAAATTATCTTGTAAAAAATAATATAATAGCCTACCCGGCTAAGCTAATCAGTAATCACAGTACAGTATTTTTTCTAATCATTTGGTATTCATTGTTCATTTAATAAAAGTAAAAAAGGATTTTACTTGTTACAACATGAAGAGCTATCATGGCATTTAGAATTATAAAGTAATCCTGATGACTTGCAAGGGCACTTCTTCATTAGGCATATTTTTAAGCAGTTGCACTTCTTGAAACCTTGTCCTCCGGTTAAAGACAATTTTGCGACAACTTCTCGAAGACTCACTTCTTTACCTTTAATCTAACCCTGTCTGACTCATTTTCAACAATGCTTTCTTCCTTGTCCTGTTCGATTGCATTTTCGACGTCATTATTTTGTTCCATATTGTCATGCAAATGCAACAACTTCTCTAAATCTTCTTCAGATCTTATAACTCTAATCATATCACCAGGAATTGCTGAAGTTGCAAGGCCCATTTTCATTGGACAACCAAACATTGCTTCGTGGGGGGAACATTTGATTCCCTCGTGATATGCTCTATTTTTCATTGCCTGAATGAATCTTAAACCCTCTGACCACTTTGATAACTGATTGGTTTCCATCCACGTACTTAACATATTTTCTATGTCTTGATTAGCACGCTACGCTGATCCTTGACTTTGGCTATGTCTTGCGTTTCCATGTACGATTTTTACATCCGCCACATAGAACATAAACTCTCAATAACTTGGTTAGAGAATTCTCAACCATTATCGGAATGAAGTATGCTTGGCGCTCCAAAAGTGGTGAAAATATCCAAAAGATGGTATGCAACTTCTATGGTGCGTTTAGTTTGAAGCGCATGATAGATCACAGATTTGGTAAGATGGTCTTGGTAGACTAAAATAAATTTATAATTTCCATCTGGGGTAGTGTGTAGATCTATTAGATCAACCTAACAGCGTGAGTTCATTTCACTGTGAAGTATAGGTCTGACATAATGCCTTTTTTCAAAGTCTTCTGTTTCTTTTGGCAAGGTTGACATAGCTTCAAATATGTCATAGTAGCCTCAACTGTTACATTTTTATACTTGCGGTTACATTCCTTAAGCATCCGTGTCCTTCCATCGTGGCCAACAGCAACACGCGTTTCTTCGAGAATATTGAATAAGTTCTCGTAACAAATGTAATACCTTATTTCTCCATCCTCCTCCTTCATAGGTGCAATTAGTTTTTCTTCGCTGCTTATAGTCAAAATGTCGTAACGCTTTATACGTCTGTAATGAACAGCTTGTTTCTTTTTCATGTTCTTTGCAGCTTTTACTTCCTCCAAACACTGCGTATTTGTCTCTATTAAGTGAAAGTTATTATCTTTTTTGCTTGCAACGAGCTCGTCCATTATTTCATAAAATCTCTGTTTCATACTCATCTTGATTCATAAATAACTTTTAGACAACGAAATCTCAAACAAGATTAGAATTAACGTGCGTGTTCTAACGTGTCAAACGATGAAATGTGGCGAGCAAAGGCGGTAACGCGGTGCGGTGCAGAAAGCAGTGACTATTTTTTCAACATTTACCATGTCTCTGAGGTAAAACCTAAGATATACCGAGTAAATGCTGGTAAAAGTTCGAAATTAACGATGATCGCAGAACATTTCGGACTTTCACCACAAAGATTTGGTAAATCTTAGGTTTTACTGGAAGATCTTAGGATTTACCATAGTTCAAGCATTTACAGTAACATATATATATTTTTTTTCCTCCCTTCGCAAAAGCATAAATGTGGTGTTTCTTTCATACTAAAATATTATTTATGTGTATTACTAATAATGTTATGTCAATGTAATTATTCATGTGTTATAATATTTGTCTGTATTTTCTTTTTCTAATTTGTATTTCGGAATGTAACATGAGGGGGCACTAGGGGTGATTTGTATATAAGGAATGTAAAAGGAGCATGGGATACCTTTTTCTGTTCAAAGACTTATCAATAACAGGGAGAAAATGACAGACTGAGTGAAAAAAGAACGAGAAAGTTGAGAACTTGGACTAAAGACAACCAGTCTTATTGTATGTATAATTCCCCTATGACCCCGTTCTGGCTGTATTCCTAGTTTTAATATATGATTATCTTTTATTTAATAATAATATGTTAATATGACGATTTTTGTCTCTGTAATCCAAAATTATTCTTGGTAGACAAATCTCACAGCAATCTTATTGGCAAATTAAATTTATTTTATAAAGACTACATCAAATGCATTTCGGGCTGGTCTAATATTTTCCAGTCCCTCTTCAGTGCTAAAATAATAACAAAGAACGTAAAATGTTTAACTAAAACACGACATAGATGTAAATCTACACCAAAATTATAAATTTTGGAGAAAAACTTACAATAACCGCTGGTGGTAATTACAATGATATTTCCATTGGTAGGGGTGGTAAACTTTGCACATATTTGTAGGAATCCTAAAATTACAATTATCTTTTTTCGTACAAAACAATATAAGGCTAATACAAGTAATATCTTAAACAATACTTATACTTACAAGTTTAAGAAACTTTTCCATACACGTGTATAATAAACATACTAAAACCAACCAATTATTAAAATATTCTTTGACAAACAATTGTATAGATAATTCCAAAGCACTACAGATTTTTAACATGATTAGCATCCGTATACAATCAACACTTCACAACAGTAATCAAGTGATGACGTCTTAATACATAACTATTTATTTTATTCTAGCGCCATCTATCAGATTATACCAGCTATAATTTATTTCCATCCCTTTCGACTGATTTATTAAATTATTATTATTTTGTTTTCTAATTTCTATATGTTCTTTGAATTTTCTTATGTAAAATTTTTACATTGTTTCTATTAATATTACAATTATTACTATTGATGTGGTTAAACCATGGAGAATTATTATACTTAAGCCGAATGGCTGCTTCGTGTTCTTTAACTCTAGTTTCTAGTACACGCCCGGTTTTTCCTATATATACACACGGATTATGACAGTCACAAATTTATATATATTTTGATGATTATCTTTGTTCTTAGTGTCGTCTGTTTTTCTTTTTTTTATCCAAAACATGACACCCCACAGATGACATAGTAGAGTCTCTCAAGTCTCCATAGATATAACAAACACAGCACAAAATAAATAGCACAAAGTAAATTGTAGCTATATGTCTATTCCGCGTGGCACGTCCGAACATGTAAGCCGAACAATAGTGTGGGGGAGTGAGTAATCAACAGTTGCGTGGCGATCAAACAAAAGATGAATCGATGAGATTTGAAAATCGCGTAACTTCGGGTTTGCATAAGTCAGGGTAGCGTAAGTCGAGGTATTACTGTATTGAATCCCCAATTTTATCAGCAGAACCGTAGAATTCTGCTAATAAAATTTGAATTTCATGAAACAGAAGTTAGGAACCGTTGTGTTAGATCAATGATAATTTTGTCTAAAAATTTGTATTTTTTTTTCCTTACTCTTTGATTATCTCATCATTCCTCACAATAACAGATCTAGAATGGTCATCAGGGATAAATTTGTAAAAAACAAAATAAATTTGGTAAATAAATATTCACTTAGGTAGCTCTAATGACATCACCTCCATTATCTGGGTGCCGGTAGTTTTCACTACTTTTTTTAAGGGAAATTGATGTTTTACTTAATTATTTTTTACATAAATCACACCACCCCCACAATTGTTGACCCTTTGCATATTAATCTCCAAAGAACAGTTTTTAACATGTATCAGTCTACACACTATCCTCCATGCTTTGGATATAGATGTGTGCTTTGGTGCTTGATATCACTCACACTTCAGCACCCAGGTGGGGCAAACTATCCCTAAAACTATATAACATCAAGTACTCCACGAACACAGTCAAGTGGGCTACTCAAAGCTGGCACAGTCGCATGGGCTAAGTTGTTAAACACAATACTACCATTGGGGCTACTCTACCAATGCTTGTTCACAACTCCAAATGGTTAATTTCTCATCCATTACCTTTTTTAACATCACTACATAAATTTAGTCCTACTGTTACTTGTGATGGAGAGACGTATAAGTGACAATTGTGCATAAACAGTAAAGGTATCAACCAGTCACTCTCGGAACTTGGGTTCAAGCCCGACTTGATAACCTTAGGAATTCTACGTCAGCCTGTCATGGATACGGTTCCTTTCCTTATCGCCCAACTATAGAGGAGAAGGTGGTATTATGGAACACTGTGGGTATTATGGAACCACCCCATTTCGAACTGATAATAAAGGCGAACTGTAGCGAATTGTGGCTGAACTGAACTAGGCAGACATCCATAGCAAGGGGAAAACCTGTTTTACTTCAGTTAAACAGTTGTCCGTATTTAATCAGCAAATTTGTTTTTTTCAAAATTCACAAGTTTTGAATGCTAAGTGAATTTAATTATTTTTAAAATATAAATCGTGTAGTTGTAGGTTCACTGGTGCATATATTCCGTTCCGGAGACTTAGGGGTACATATTAATCTATGTGATGTTCACGTTTTTTAAATTTTGGTATTGACAGACATAAATTAATTCAAGATGGCAATGCGTGAAATACGGATCCCATTGGTGCTTTTACAGTAATATGGAACTCAACTCCTCCGAACTCTCTCTTTGCAAGCAGACATTCCTCCAGAGCAATTTGTGAAAAAGACACTAGGTAGAAAGTCAATTCTTCCTGAGAATATCGAAAAAGAGCTGCCAGAATATATATATTGTTGATAGAGGTCATATTTTTCTATTATAAAAGCATTTTTGCAATAAAATACATTGGAGTAAATAATTTGGTAATTATTTATCATTTTTTATCCTTTCCTATTTTTTTTGGCTACATTAAAGCATTTTTTTGAAAATATACAGTAAGGTTCCATATTACCACCCGATTTTCTCAGCCTACTTTCTGACTTTTTGTACAAAACCCTTCAAAAACCATACTTATAATTACACTAGCGAAATATCCAATTAGGAACATTTAGTTTACTAGTTACCAGTACTTTTCGCACAATAAATGTGGGTGTAGTTATGATATCTTGTTTACAATTCACTAAAATGTAATTGGGGTTCCATAATACCACCTTCTCTACTTGTTTCTCACAATCCCACATAATGTAAAAATACCAAAAGATTGGTTCATTTGACACTACCTTGTTGTGATATATCTGGGACATGAACATATCAGAAACATAATTATGGGCAATTATAGATGGATACATTTATCTCTCATATTTCCCCAATGCAAAATATAAATAAAACTAGTTAAAAATTAAAAAAATAAAATCGTCTTCTACTATATACAAAAAATATATTACATTGAAGTAAAAAATTAAAATCACACCTTTTTTTTCACTTGATATAAATCAAAATATTCGCTTTTCCTAAGTCATTTAACATACGGCAAACTGAATATCATCTTCCATCTTCTTTAAATTTAAAGAGAACAACGCCATCTTTATAATGTAAATAGAATTTATATTAAATATATATAATTTTTTGTTTGAAAATATTAACAATAATAGCGATCACAATAATAATTTATCGTTTTTGCGAGAAAAAATCTAAATATTAATATTGATTGAAAAATGTACAGTACAGTATTTGAATTGACGTTCGTAACATTTGCCGAGTACTCATACAGCTATGTAAATGAATAGTCGTGTGAGGCTCCGGAAGTGGTTCGGTGACTCCGAAAACAAATTTTTGATAATTGTAAATAAAAGAAGCAATCAGAACAACGAAATTACTTCATTTTTATAAAAGTATTAAAAATCACATATTAAAAAAATCTACTTAAAACGATATGCAAAAAAAACAATAAACTAAAATCTTTTCACATTTATAGAAGCATTATTATTTCATAAAACTTATGATATAAACTGCAAAACTATGCGAACACGTGACTTCAACGTCATTTCCGATTATTGAAATATATCACGTGACAATTTACGGTCCCAGGATTGTGCCTTTCCAAATGACTTTTGTAAGGAGCATCGAAATTCGATAACTGCAGTTTGCGGAATTTATACATCTCGATTAACAATGAGTCATATCCGATGCCGGGCTGCAATTTTTAATATAATATATATAATGCAATCTAACATAGTGATGTCACTTTTTCCAACTTCTCTCATGTTTTGCTAATTTCTCACTAATTATTTTTTAATATTTGTTCTCCAAACGTAATACTTCAATATTGAAACTCTAGATAATCGCTTTTGATAGTTGCTGATTCATATGTCGCCATCTAGCGAATAGAGAGACAAACAGACAGGCTTATCGTTACAGTTTTAATTACAGTACCTGTATATAGATTTTACGAATTCAACGAGAGGACTTTGTTTTCTATCTTCATAGACACTACAGTCAATATTTTAAAATTATTATTAGACTAGATAGAACGAGACAGCTTCAACAGCTTCGTTGTAACTGATACATCTACGCTGCAGTAATATCACACAAAAAATAAAACACTTTCTTGGGAGTTTCTAATCCAAACAAAACAATCAGATAAAACATTATCCGTTGAATCACGGACACTGGTCATAGAATAATGTCACGTAGTGGCTGTCCTATGAGTGGGCCTATGCTATGAGTAATAACAATGAAAATTATTATTATTAAACTTACCTTATTAAGTAATTATTAGTGTTGTTATTCTTTAGTGCAAGTAGTATCAGAAAATAAGAAAATTAAGCACAATAGGTTACATATTTTAGACAAATTAAAAGATCGGTTAGACTTAGAGCTGACACGTTGCGAACTCACCAATACCTTGATTGTCTGTCTGAAGGAATTTATGTATTACTTAAACCGAAACCGAAACCGGTCCCGTTTCCTCTATCGATCGTTTGTAAACACGCTAATCGATTCATGTGTACTGTACTTATCGCAGTAACCTGACAGTCGATTTAAATTTAACTATTATAGGTTTACAATTTCGATTAATAACTTTAGAAATATATTTTAATTATATGTCATTTGTTAATCAAATATCTAAACTCTTATTCGTTAAGATTATTTTATAATAGAATTATCATTTATATGTTAGGGACCGTCCATAAATTACGTCCGCATTTTTCTAGAAATTTTTACTTCCCTTCCCCACTGTCCCCGTATGTTCAAGTTTCCATAATCCTCCTCCCCTCTTCGGACGTCCAACAAAACTCGACTCCTCCTCAAAGTCTTTACCACTGTATGAATTATAAAATGTATAAACTACAAAATTTATGCTTTTCAAAAGACCATCAACAGCTGTGAAATCTATTTCCTGTTTTTATGATAATGCAACAGTAAAAAAATATAATTCAAATCTATTTTTATAAATTTGAATTATAGTTATCCTCATTTTTATTCTACAGAGTAATTCTAAACTCCATATTTAGATAAAGGTTTACCTTACTGTAGTAACCTAGTACTGATAGAATAATACAGTACTGTATATGCAAATAATATGTAACTGTGCATGCATGAATCCTTTCCTGCTAGTCATAACAAATGCATGTTAAAGTGTATATAAAAATTCTCCATAAAAAATTCACTTAAAAGGGACATACATTTGTGTTCCTTTTAGATGATAAGTGAATTTTGTATGGAGAATTTTTAATTGACCTTGCTGTATTATTAATGTGTTTAAGATCTTGGAAGCTGTAACACCAATGTGGGGACTTTTCAAATGAAATTATTTTTTTAATTACGATTATATAGAGCAATTTATTACTTCAATCAAGGTCGAGCGAGAACTTAACTACAGTAGTTAGTTACCTAATCCTACGTAATTGAAGGTGTGTGATATGCTTTATTATATTTATTTTTATTTTAAAGTAACAAAACTGATAAGTACTGCAGCACCATATGGACTCCGAAAGATACGCCTCTGCATCTATATAAAAAAAATAGAGATCGATGTACACATTTTAAAATCGAAACCGAAACTAGTTACGTTATTGGTGAATGTTAACTAACTCGGAACTCTGTAGGTGCTATCAGCAATTCAGCTAAGTAAACGAGAGCGTTTTATTGGTCAACGCTAACCAGATTTACTACATGTGACTATAATAAGAATTGTTTTAGTTTTGTGTTGCATGAATTTACTGATACGCGTATTGGATTTTGTGATGAACGAATATAGGAATTTTTTTTTAGATATTAAAAGCAATCAAAATAGAAGAGTTTGTGAGACATTTCGCCAAAAATTTATTTGCAAAGTGAATTTCTAACACATCATCTGTTCTTCAGATGACAAAAAGTACGTTGAAAGGTAAGTTTATATTATTATTTTTATTCAATTATTATTTTGCTTTGATTTATTATCATCATCATTACTTAACATTTTCAAATACAGTAATAGCCCGAACTTACGCGATAGGTGGGACCGAGCGATAACCGCGTAACTCGAATTCGCGTAAGTCGGGGTATAATTTCGCAATTTGTGTAAAATCCAAGTCGGATGTATGTAAGCTAATAAATGTTTTCGTTAATCTAATCTCGTGTTTTGATTCGTTCACGGTTACAAGAAATCACCACATAGAGTCTCTCAAGGCTCCGTAGATACAACAAACACAGAAATAGATACAATTTATTTTGTGTTATTTATGTGTCAATTCCGCGCGACATGTCTGAACATGTAAGCTGAACAATAGTGTGGGGGAGTGAGTAATCAAAAGTTGCGTGGCGCTCAAACAAAAGACGAATCGACGAGATTTGAAAATCGCGTAACTCCGGGTTCACGTAACTCGGGGTAGCGTAAGTCGAGGTATTACTGTATAGGCTACTGATGATTTTTTTCTTAATTACCGATAAAATTTGTAAACTTATATAATAGACATATATAAATTATCGGTAAATGTCTATCCTTTATACATGTATAAAGGATAGACATTTACCAAATTATCTATTAGGCCTATATTAATTTATATAATATAGGAACTTCTCGTCAATTCGAACTGGAATAGTTCGAAATCCCGGTAGTTTGTAACTTTACTTTTGTCCTGGACAGGGATATTAAGATTTACATGCTAAGGAATTCGGTTAGTTAGAAATATGGCTACTTCGAAATTCGAAGTGAAAATTCTGTTCTAATTGTGATATGCGTATATTAAGTCGTTCGTTTAGATCGAAATGCCTCCATGGTGTAATACAACAATACATCAAGAACAACTCTAATCTGGACAATATGGCTTTGCTTTTACAGTAACACGTTTTCGGGTATCACCTTATACATGGAATACCCTTTTCCTCTCTCTTAAACACTTGCATGCACAATGGAGAGCGACTGGAGTGAACGTTAGTAGCCGAATCACATGCCGAAGGTCGCACGACTTTCATTTCAATTACATCTCTAACAAAAAAACAATGACAAGAGCGTGAGAGAGGCTCATGTGGGATCTAGACGACTGGAATAACGTTCTCTATAGTGACGAATTTCTGTTTTGTCTCTCCTGTAGTGATCAAGGCCCACGTGTATGGAGAACTATCAAAGAGGCCTTCGAAAAGGACTGTATGAAGAAATCCGCGAAGTTTGCATCGTCCGTCATAATCTAGAGGTGCGTGAATGCTAACGGCGTAGGACAATTTGCATTCTTCGGGAACATGTCAATGCACAGATATATCAAGACATCTTAGAGACATTTATGATACCATCGGCAGAGGATTTAGTTGAGGAAACATTTCTATTTCAACAAGACGGGGCATTCTATACATGTAAACAGTATGTTAAAATAATATATAAAAAGAGTTTCAACGACTCACGACAGAAAAACAATCTTATAAACAGCAGCCAAATAGATCCTAAAGATAATAGATTCAAGATTTGTGTTTAAGTTTATAAAAAAAAAACATCTAAAGATAATTAATTATCTTTGGAATTTATGTTTATGAGTCGTTTTTCAATCAAATTTATCTGTTTATGTGATATTAAATATTATAAATTAAAATTAATACAGTATTAATTGGGCTGCAATTTGAAAAATTGTAGACATAAATTCCCACTCTCCTCCGTTTGTTCGCCCGCCTGTATTTCCTTAATCTCGAGAACGGAGACCAGATATGGAAACTTCAGGGGCATTAACTGTATACAAACTTCCGATGCAAACCGAAGTCATGTTATTTCAATTCAAAAATTTTCCTCCGAAAGGTGTTAGACAGATGACCGACACGACTGTATTGTTATTAATTTAAATAATCTTTCTATTATGAATATAAATAATATCTATTATCTATTATAAATAACTTTAATATATGTATTGTAAATTTTATCTTAATAAAAATAACGTATATGTGTGCATCATATTTTGTTTAATGAGGTATTATGAATGTACAACAAGGAATAAAATAAAACTATAATAATTATATGTAATTAATTTTGTATCTGCAACCTTATATAATAAAATGTAATATTTGCATACGACTTATCGTTATAGTTTGAGTGTATTGTACTGTACGTTGCAATGAACGATTACATGAATACTCAAGTGGCAAAACTTGCCATGGTTATACAGTTTTGTTACTTTCAAAATAATGTTATTTTTACTGATCAAACATCTTTCATCATTAGTTTCCAATGTTTAAGTTGAGAGTCATACAAGTCACACCAGATAGATGTGAGGCTCCGGAAGTAGGTCGAAATTCGCGCAAGATAATGTTTTAATTTCGTATAAAAAAAAGTGTTTTTTTATTATTATAATAATATATATTGTAAAAAGAAACCGTCTAACGCAAGGTGAATATATTATGTCCATATGAAGTCATATCTGTAGAAATTTCTGAGAAAAAACGAATTTCTCAGAAAGAAACAATAGATGAATTTGAGTACTTAGATCGAGCGTCTTCGATAGGAATCAAATTGTCAATCGGAGTTGACTCACCCCGCGATCTGGGCTCCGATCCCGTTACAATTTGTAACGAGGAGGGAGACCAATTAGAGAACGGGGGCAGATCGACATCGACCTATCGGAATGTTCGATCTGGGACTCAGAAAAACTTATAAAAATCGCGCAAAAATAGGATGTGACGTTCTTGGTTACTAAGTTCGGTGTGCTCCGCTTCTGGATTTTTCCTGCGGTTCGTCGTCCCGAAAGAAGTTTTCGCCATCCTGTCCCAGCAACTTTCGCCAAGGATAATCTACTGTGAGAATCACCCCTTCAAGTTGTGCTGTGCACCCCGGAGCCTACGTTTTCCTCATCATCTTCGCCAAAAGAAGAGAAGATCGTAAGATTGAACTTTGAACTGATTCACTCTGTGGATAGGCCTTACGCCGAAGAAAACAGTAGTTGTAAGAGAAATTTTTATATTTAATAAATAGTTTGCGATGGAAGACCTGTCTCAGTAAGTTTTTCCACTCCCACACGACAGTGCTGACCGCTCGACTGTCGCGACACTTTTTCCCCAATCGGCAAACCTCGCACTGGTGTCAGAAGTGGGATTTTTCTGATTGTTTTTGCAACATTTGCAAACAATTTCAGTCCCACAATAATTGTTGAGGCAGCCGAGAGAAAAGTGGGAAGGAACTATGGAAACAGAGACAGGCTCTCCAGCGCCAACTCGCGACTTAGGAGGCGGCTCGCTTAGCGCCCTTTCAGCCTTTAGTGGGATGATACCTACGTTCTCGGGAGACGTGGGGCGCGTAACAGATTTTTTTGATACGTTAGGAGAAGTCGCAGGATTAGCAGGTTGGACCCCTAAACAATGTTTAAGCATCGCTAAGTGTAAATTGACAGGGATAGCGAGAGATTTTGCGTGGCGCGACCTCCAAATGAAAGAAGTAACGGAGTACACAACCTTTAAACGCCTAATGATAACTAGGTTTGACCAAGAACCATATTCCATTAAGGTACAGAAATTCCACGCGTGTACGCAGCGCAAAGACGAAAGAGTTCAAGAATTCGCCGTTAGGTTACAAACGTTAGTTAGCGCGATAATCGTAGATCAAACCGGGACAAACGAGCAAGAGAATGCCGTTATCAAGCGGTGTCAGCAGAGAGAATTGGACGAGAAACTCCGCATTCAATTCTTGCACGGCTTAAATGAAAAAATGAAGCGCAACGTAATGACACATGATCCAGCTACATTTTCAGAAGCTTTAAAAATAGCGATAAGAGAGGAAACAATTGAACAATTGACTAGCAAACAGCGAAATTATATAGGAAACGTAGAGGAGTCGGCAGAGAATTCCCGAACTAAAGCTGACAAAACAAAACCCTGTAAGGAAGAGGCATTAGAAGCGAAAATTAACCAAATCGCTAAACAGATAGAAACTTTAGGGAAGAGATTAGACAATCGGTCCTCGACAGCCCAAACAACTAGTGCGCGAGGAGGAGAATTTAATCAAAATAGACGAATGACGACATCCGCGATGCGAGAGAGACAGGAAGTAGGAAACCCCAATACCTATTCGAGCTCTCCGCGCCGTTTTGGACAGCCCCAGCGCTCACAACAACCACGTTTTCCTACAAATAACCGACCGTCATTGAATTATTCCGTTCAGACCCCTTCGAGACGATACTCGGGATATAATTCACTTCCTTTTAGGTCAAATTACGAATGGGGACCGACAAATTATCGGCAATTTAATCCAAATTGGTTAGAAAGTGGAATTTATGCGTCGCCCCCACTACCCGATTGGTATAGAGGAAACACCGTTCCTCCACCCAATCGAGGGGAGTGGAGAGTAAACCCTAACGCTCCAGAATGGCGGGTTCCTGGTATAAATAATCCCTTTTCATCGCGATATCGGGAACAAATGCCTTTTTATCGAGAACAGTATAGACAGATGGGACCCAAAGACGATCAGGACTTTGAATATTTGCCTTTTAACCCGNATATTCATTAGGCGAGGAATTTTTCAAGAAGATTCCTTGAGTCCTCTCTGGTTCTGCCTAGCCCTGAACCTATTATCCAACATGTTAAACAACACACATTATGGCTACAATATCAGACATGAAAAAACAACACAGTTTACACTGTCACATCTCATGTACCTGGACGACATAAAACTTTATGCATCCACACAAAAACAACTTCATCAACTCCTACAAATCACACATTCATACACAAAGGACATACAAATGGAGTTTGGCTTAGACAAATGCAAAAAACTTCACATAGAAAAAGGAATCCTGAAGAAAGAAGATTTTGCACTTGCAAATGGAGACGTTATTGAATCCATGGAAGAGGGCGAGTTCTACAAGTATTTAGGATTCCAACAGGCCAAACTAACGGAACATACAAAAATAAAGCAAAGATTAATTAAAGAATACCAAAGTAGGTTAAATGCCATTCTCAAAACACAGCTAAATGCAAAACACACAGTTAAAGCAATAAACACATATGTCATCCCAGTACTCACATACTCTTTTGGAGTTATACATTGGACTCACACAGATCTCGAGCAACTTCAAAGGAAAACAAGAACAACACTTACTAAGCATAAACAACATCATCCTAAATCTGCCACAGAAAAATTAACCATTCCACATAAAGATGGCGGACGTGGCCTGATTGACATAGTTAACCTTCACTACAAACAAATACAGTCACTGCGAGAGTTTTTCTACAGGAAACAACAAACACAATTACATAAAGCAGTAACTCTAGCAGACTCAAATAGCACACCATTAAACTTACACTTCACATCATACAGACATGATACAACACACAAAAAACATAGACACCATTAAGCAATTGTGGACTCGAAAGGCACTCCATGGCAGGCATCCGTATGACCTGGCCCAGGATTTTGTTGACAAAACTGCATCAAACAGCTGGTTAGATTGGGGATGCCTGTTTGGGGAGACGGAAGGATTCATGATTGCCATACAGGATCAGGTCATAAATACTAAAAACTACAGAAAACACATACTCAAAGATACAACACTCACAAATGACACATGCAGAAAATGCCACATCATGCCAGAAACTATACAACACCTTACTTCTGGTTGCAAGCTCTTGGCACAGACAGATTACTTACACAGACGTAATCAAGTAGCAAATATAATACACCAAGAGCTTGCAAACAAACACAAATTATTAGACAACCATGAACCATACTACAGATACATTCCACAGACAGTATTGGAAAACAACACACATAAAATGTACTATGACAGAGCCATAATCACAGATAAAACAATTTACAACAGACCGGACATCACACTCATTGACAAACACAATAAAATCACATACATTATAGACATAGCCATTCCAAACACTCACAATGTACAAGACACATGCACTGAAAAAATTAGCAAATACACAGAACTTGCCCAGGAAATAAGGCATGTGTGGAGGATGGATAGGGTGCTTATTGTACCTGTTCTCTCCTGTACTGGTGTGATGCTACACAAAAGCCTGGGAACATTAAAATTGAATAGAAATACATACATCACACTACAGAAGACCACTATATTGAATAAATGCCATATTGTTAAGAAATTCCTAATTACTGACACTGATTCCTGAATACTGACACACACATTTAATTTTAATTTTTTTTTTCGTTGCTATGCCTTAACTGTGGTCCGGCATAGTATACAGCCACCGGTGTGTACCAAGTATAACCCACTAAACCCAACATAGTAATATCCTAGCAATGACCTTCAACACAAAGAGTTCTTTGTATGCATGTTATCTTATAGAGCATTACCACTTCCATAGCATATAATTAAAAGTTTCTCTATGAAAAATATGGATTTAATATTCC